CTGAACACATATCCCATATTAAGCCTAACTACTACAGTCTCACTACATTAATTACACTTATTCACAGACTTCCAGCAACTTATTGCTACATCTTCTCCATACCAGTTTGAATATTTCCTTGAATTGTTCTCTTCTGGTACAACGTTTACATAGCAATCATTCCCTCCTCGTCTCCTACTCCACCATCTTAGGTGCTCTGCATGACTCAAGCCCATTCCCAGAACAGTTCTTTTTCATGTTGGTTACAGTAATATTGGAAACAGTCATTTGTTGCATCCAAAGCTTTAATATTCTCATAACATCCTGATGAGGAATAAATTCAACCCATATGTGGGTAGTTGAATCTCCCACCTTATTGCCATAAAATTTGCAGCTTCTCTAATCTCACTTAATATTTTTCCATCACTAACATAATCTGATCCAAGAGCTATTAATACAATATAATATTATATTATTAGAAGGAATTTCCATTCACAAGGTTTTGCACAGTAGGCTTCTTTTCCTCCCACAAGATTTTCATGCTGCTACACTTGATGTTATCCTTTTATGCAAAGTGCCACTTCCCTGCCTGTACATCTAATCATTCTGGCAAAGTTGGTAGCATATTAACATCATACACCATACATTCTCCTTCCATCAGGCTTCCAACACATCTATTATAAAGCAGTTGTCATTTGATAATGAGCATTTTTGTTTGTTCATCTTATCTCTTAGGCTTAAGATAATGTAAAAGCACATATAAGGGTTGCTCCAGCTCTGCTACTCAGTATTTCACATACCAGTTAACTAAGTCATATATTCAGTTTAATGTTTTGAAAGAATTATAGTAAGAGATTCCTTTGATACCATTGTTGCCAAAAAGGCTTTTCACAGATTATCTTCATTGATCTGCAACCATGAGTATAATCCTGACAAATCTTAAACACTTGATATTTCTTATTATTTCTTTCTCTTTCAAGTCTCTAACTACCCTTCATACCAATCCTTCTTTTGCTTTTAAAAAGAAAAGTTATCAGAAAAACAAAGATCATTCAGGCAAACAATTCACATTCATCACCCTATTTTCAGAGCTTCTCAACTACTTTTTTTCAGGAGAGAGCCATGGAGCGTACCTTACTTCCACACTGATGTCTTTAAGGCAGTGATTTCACTCCTTAGTTTTATTCTTTTAGCTGCTGACACAAAGCTAATGATTTCAGGGTTCCAGAATCATTTGTTTGCTTCTTGGGGCATCTGATAATAAGCTCTTGTGTTCTCTTGCAAATATTTTAAATGTACGTACACTTTCCAATTACAATCAAATCTTTTCTCAAGTATTCACACTGACCATATTCCATCCACACACCGACCTGTATTTCCAGATTCTGAACTAACATTCTCCTCCCACATTCCGTGTGTAGTAGTAAATCTACATGGTTTTATGACAAAGGAGTTGGTTTTCCATTATGCCTTTGCCTACTTCTTTCATATATATAATCTTAGATTTCTTTAAGATTACAAATCTATTCGGAGACAAGAATAAAAGAGTCAATAAATAAATTACACTTTGTCTTCTGTAAGTTGCTACAAGAATACCACCAGCAATTGATGCTTTGATACTTCTCATCATTCCAATTCAAATTTTTCATTTTTATAAAACACATCGCTTTCACAAAATGGTTCCATTTCTCGAAAGTGACAAAAACAGCTTTATAACAAGTAAAAGAATGAAGAGAAAATATGCTATACCACCCATGGGCCTTACACGGACTTATTATTATTAAACAATCAGCACAGTGAAAACATTTCCTCCAGTAAGTTACCAAGACTGTTGTCAGCAGGTCAAAGTAGTGATTATTTCCCTCTACCTCCCTTCTCTCTCAGGAAGAAGTACCTGGTGTACTTGTTCAGTTTGGGCTTCCCCACTTAAAGAAAAATATAGATATATTGGAATGAATACAGCGGAAAAACCATCAAGATGATTCGAGGGCTGAAACATAAGACGCAGACAGAAAGTCTGAGAGCTGTCAGTCTTGAGAAGAATGAAAGGCAAGGGAACTCTTACTGCTGTCTCAAACTACCTAACAGAAAGCCACAAATAAGAGGGACCAGATTCTTCTTGGAGGTGCACAACAAACAAGAGGCAATACACACAAGTTGCAACACAAGATATTCCAAGAAGATGTTATGAAAAAAAAATTTCACCACAATGGTGACAAAAACAGGAACATGTTATGCATCCATACATCTCCATCTTCAGGGATATCTTGAACTCCGCTGGACAAAGCCCCAAGCAACATGAACTACACTGGTCCTTTGACGAAGGTGATTGGACCAGATGATCTTCAGAGGTCCCTTCCAAACTAAATAATTCCATGATTCAAGGACATGTGTCTGACATGCCATCCAGACATCCAACAACAGTGATTTTCTTTCTCCATATAGTCTTTGCTCCATGTTACTACTCACTATTTTCCCTA